TAGAAGTGTAGCGAACCCATTCACAATAACGGTTAGTGGTTACCATCCCCGTTTTCTTTACGCGAAGGAAAAGTAGGCTGCAGGTATGAAAACCTTGCAGAATAACCCGTGCCGGTAGTTTTGCAACACTCATGGTGACATAGAATGTTAGAAAAACGGGGCAAATAATTATCCACAAATAAAAATTATGCATAAAAATTATTATCAACAGATTATATATGCATTCAAAATATGAAGCAATAACTTTTTGCAACACCTTGCATTAAAGAGAAAACCGATGCACTCTATTATAGAGTTCACCACTCTAGGTTTATGGCGACATTTTGGAGCGTCGCACGCAAAGACAGGGTCGAAGCTGTGTTTGAAACTGGTGGCGGAAATTCGAGGTTGACCCTCAGCGTCCCATGGCATCAGCGCCAATCCGCGAAATGCCAACAAATTACTCCATGATACACCACCCCATAAAAGACCATCTTGACAAAAAAGACCACCGAAATTGTGCTGTCACAATGACGTCACAATCGCGTCTGACCACGTAAGGCGGTGTCAGATCATGATGTTTTCAGACCACATATTAGGCCAAAAATTCACCATTCGCGATGCAAAACTAGACGATGTGCAAACAGTTTAGAATGGCTCATATTGGCGGTAGTGCAAAGTAATGTTAGGTGTACGAAGCTTCCGGAGGCTGCTGTGTAAGGTTCAGTGTATCAACTGAAAAAAAAAAAAAGATAATGGCTTCCTACTTCGCGTCATCTTGGTCCATGAGAGTTGTTTTGGCAATTATGCCTACCTCTACATGCCAGGTCAAGTGGGCAGCGTCCATATTTTGCAAAGTCTGGTATGCCTTTTTTGTCCCGTTTGTCCCTGTTTGCGCATATGAAGTCGTACGATCAAGACAAAATCAAGGTCTTCTAAAAGACTATAATCATAAAAAAGGCTGACACGACTACGGAAGACGGTACATAACTTGTTTATCACCATAAAAACATAATTGCATCAGCGTAAACTCGGTCAAGCCGGCTTAGTGCTCCAATAAGCTGTCAGTTCTACCTGGTTAACATTCGCCATTGTCCTTTTTGATGTCATCAATGTCACCCTCCGAAAACCCTCAATTTGGTTGATTGATATGTGGGGTTGAACTTCCCAAAACCACGATATGATTAAAAGAGACGCCGTAGTGAAGGGCTCCGCAAATTTATCCCACCGGGGCTCTTACGTGCCGCTAATTCTGAGCACACGGATCTACAGCATTTCCACCTCCATCGAAGATGCAGGCGCCGCAGCCGGGATTCGATCCCACGACCTGCGGGTCAGTAGCCGAGTACCTTAGCAACTAGACAGCTTCGGAAGGGCACGCTCCGAGAAGGTAACGAGTGTTCAATTGAACTACAGTATAGAAGGACTGAAAGCTGGGCCAGTTGGTGATGTTACTTGAACACATTTTAACATAGCACTCAAGTACGCGAGCACCAAAAAAAAAGAAGGGTCAAACCGCAGCAGTTACTCGCAGCACAATGTTTGTTTCCTATCCACGTGACCACAATAAAGCAAGAAAATGGTAGGTGAGCTCATATCGTGAAATAAAAATCTTGATGCAGCGTACGTGCACACTCTAACAGCAGAAAAGCTAAGATGTCGTGCCATATGAGAACATAAGTTCGCCGTCATGTAGGGCTATAGAAGGCACGCTAATGCATTGTCCACCCCTCTTTGTGACATTATAGACTTCAATTATTCTTAGTGTGGCTTGATCTCTGCGTGTCGATAAAACTTTAGCTTCCTGAAAGATAGGAGCGCATTGGCACGGCGCAATATGTCGGGACGGGGCACATGTTAGCAAACATTCCCTTGCAAAGAACGCCTGTATTCGAACAACCTATCTTTAGGTGACCTACCTGTGTGGTCTTTGTATACACGACCACCGAAAAACGGCAAAAGATACACGGTACCTTTTCTATACTGTACAAATGGAGTCAGGTGTCTTACCCCGCAGTCTTCTTTCAATACTCCTGACTCGCGCGTCTTAAGTTTCTGTTCAACCATCCCACAAACCAAATTACACTTAATAGGGGACAAAAAAAAAGCTACACTTACTCCGAACCGGCTAGCAACATTCTTCAAGTTGTGGGACAATCTGTGTATTTACGGTAGTACTACTGAGCATTTTCTATCCTCTGGAACTGGATGAGTAGCCACACTCTATCCGTTTGTTCTAACTCGCTTAATCAAGTTTTGGACAGTTTGCACTCAGTTTGCGAGCCGTAAGGCACAGCGTATCGATTTCTATGACCAAAATGTAGTTAACGTGAAGGCATCGATTGACGTACGCGACATATATGACATTCAGCCCGCTATAAATTAAGGCCGCGGCTCGTGGAAATTGCCTCCGAGTTCTCAAGCTCAGCACTCTCGCACCTACAGGCGCTAAGATCTTAAGTTAGGTCGCATTCCGCTTTCACCTCTCACCGATCAGAGGTTAGTACCTGTTAATCACGTGCTTAGAAATTTATTTCACGATTCGGTATTAGGCTGAGTACTAGATTAGTGCCCTTGCAGTTTTTCTGGCACTGTGGGAGTCGGCTAAGCACGTTTGCCATCCCAACAGGCCACGTCGAAACGTGTCACTGCAAACCCTAATTCAGCTGGCGCGCACCTGGCAGCTCCACCACATGGGCGCTGCCGCCCAGATCCAGCTGTCAAACTCACTGTTCGAGAAAAAAAACAATAACGAACACGTGCATGGGATGAACCGTTGCAACCACTGTATACCATTCGTAGTGGGCGAAACTATTATTTTCGTATATTTTTTGTTTACAATGGTGTTCCCATATTTTCACGCGGTTCTGACAGGCCTCCTCTGCAGAGGACTTAACGTGCCGCCAAATGTTGTTTTTTTTTAATTAGTTATCGTAATAATCACAATATCAGGGCTTTGCGTGCCAATAGAGCAATATGCAATAATAAAACGTATATATATATATATATATATATATATCAGTTGGTAGAGCATCCAACGCGTTATTCGAAGGTTGCAGATTCGGTTCCTGCCCAAGGCAAGTTATTTTTTCACCCACTTTTCTTTCTTCCCATTTGCATTACCATTCTGTGTAATAACTTCACCTATACATCCCATGGCATTCTTGTCTGTTTGATTTCATTCATATTGCGTCAAAACAAAAACGAAAAAACGAGCCCTTATGTATACACTTCTTTTCCTAAATGAACATATATATATATATATATATATATATATATATATATATATATATATATATATATATATATATATATATATATATAGAGAGAGAGAGAGAGAGAGAGAGAGAGAGAGAGAGAGAGAGAAGTAGACTTCTAGAAGTTTTGGCCATGAGGTGATTTCTAACGCGAGCTCACATCACACCATATGCGAGTCTCTAGAATTTTTTTGAACTGAAATGTGACCACCGCAGCTGGAATCGCACCCACGACCTGCTGCATAAACCATGCGAACAGTTCCTCGAGCTACCGCAGTGGTTTTTTCAGCTAGAACACCCTTTATTGAATTCGAATAATTTGACATGATCTGCAATATTCTCTTGATAATGTATAGAAAACATATAGGAACATAAGGAACATCTACGGATTCTGTACGAAAGGATCTATGATTACAAGAAATGAATACGACACGTTTCAGTATAGGTCCGCATGCGTGGAAAATTCATATTTCGATGTGACGTCATCGTCAAACGCGCTCGTTACATGACGCGCAGGCTTGGTGCTGACGCCAGCGGACCGAGAATGTACACTGGGTAAGCGTACGTGATAACACTCGGGGCGGCGTAATGATGAAACTTGCCTCTGCCATACCAAACCAAATTCTCTAACCGCTATGCTGTAAAACCACGCATCATCAAAACAAGACGTACACGTACGCTTGCAGAACCTTCAAGCTGTAGCAAACCACGTTCAGACAACTCTCCCGTTTTCGCACTGATAATGTTTTTCAATTAAACCAACTGCCAAACTGCTTGGTAATGATACACATTGGTTGGGCGCCAAGAAAAACATCAGGATAATAATTTTCTCGTCAGTTTATTTTGTGCAAGCTAGAACATAACAGTGCCCACTGAGTAGATTCCCGATAGTTGATATTAGCTAGCAATCTGCTGTTTTCTCTTTTCAATAATTTCAATTTTTTTCTCGTCGACTCTATCACACGACATGACGCCTGAAAGCTTCGTTAATTTTGCCACTGCAACAAATTTAATTGCATCTTACATATGTCAGCTCAGATGGCCAACTTGTTTTGAGCTCTATGAAATACATCATAACACAAATGTTTTGCCTAACCAAAAAAAAAAACGCAATACTGGCTATATCGATTCCCCTCCGTTCTCTCCTCTCCTCTGTTGCTCTGTGTTATAAACAATTAGTGTAGAAACAGTGCATGAGCTGCTCGTCACAATGCTGTACATTCCACTCTTCGATACTGCCCTACGGCTACGCTTTTATTTGCTTAGCACAATAGAACCTAACCAGCCAATTGCCCTCAGGTTGTCTACAACAACAGTTATGACAATATGATAGCCCTTATAGCTGGAGTTGTTATTGCAATAGCATAGCTGACTTATTTTAGCGACTTTGAACAGTTAGTGCAATAACGTAACGTTTCGACTACCAAACACCGCGCGTTTGAACGAAGCCTTCGTCAACCAAAGGTGGCAAAGCTACGGGTGATTGATCCAGAAGCCATGTCTTGACTTGTCAGTACAAAACCTGTCTCCACACTTGGAAGGGAGACAATCAAGAACTCTCCCACTCGACAGTCTTGGGATCAGCAGCTTTGCTTTGCCTCTTCAACGCGATACAAGGTGATAAGACTTGTTTTTCTGTCTGCCTCACTCGTTCACGTATCGCTCTAGGGGATTAAAGACCTCTCAGTGCAGCCAAGTGGAGTTGCCAAGGATTTAAAATGAAGGCAGGGCAAAAGGGGGGAGGGGGGTATCGGCGGAAGCCAAGAATTACGCTCTAGCAATAGAATCAGCAAACGTAAACAGGAACACCAGGGGGAACGTTCCATAGAAGTAACCCATATGCAGGTTAATTGTGCCCGTAAAGCGGTTCGATCTCATTTCGCCGCGCTTTTTTTTTTCTCGCTGCGGCCCCTAGGCTTTGGAATCATGCCAGCGCAGACTGCATACACGTGATATCACCTCGTCCAGCTGTAGGGCTTTCCTCCCCACGCAGCGATTATTCCGCGCTGCTCCCGCTTCCTGTCAGCGTCCAGTGCGGGCTTCGAGCAGCCGGCCTCTGAGCGGGAAAGTTGCGCACGCAAAAATGTACGTGCGGGTGTCTCTCGTGTTCGCCGTCGGCGTGGATTTATCGCATGTCTCGACTACACCAAGACCTGAAGAAGCAACGGGCATTGCTGTTCTGGAAGACGGAGCATCTCCGGTCGTACAGATTCCACGCCGGGAAATTACGCTGGTGCGAAGCGCGTAGTTTTAGGCGAGAAGTTCGCGTATGCCTTCACTGGAGTGCCATACTGCGAAACCACCGGTCGGGCGAGCTGCGCTATCGAATACCGGAGTCCGTCGGAACCATGGGTCGAGGAAGTGAGGGATGCTACGGTGACGCCCCCCTCGTGCATGCAGGGCAACGTGTTTTCGCCGAGAAACCTGTTGTGGCTGCCATACGGTGAGTAAACAAACGCACCTATTGAGTTAGTGACTGTGGTACTACTGAATGTTAAATAATTTGAAGCTTGCTTTGGTAAAAAAAACTCCAATTTCGGAATATTCGCGTCAGCTAACAGAATTTTTTTTTTATATTTAGGAACAAGTGTCATACTTGTGTACGTGCGAAATAAAAAAAATATTTCGGCTCTTTCTTATTTCGTGACCCGTTGACGTGAAATGCGCGAATACCCCAACGTTATACCTATTTATTAAATTACATCGTAACTTCTGATTACACGTTTTTGAACTTTGGAATTTGTATCTCAGGAACTATCAGGCGCAGAGTTTCTCACATTTGTGAATCACTTACAGTCACATAATTTGAACTGGTGTCAGCAGCATAGGTGCGTCAGTGTTTTTTTAGATTTATGCAAACAATTACACGCGGAAAGTTTCACGCACTGACAAACGTAATAAGCAAACGTAACAAATGCATTTTTAGTTGTCGGCTCAATATTTTAGTTTCGCTTCTGTAAAGCTTTAGGAGCAACCTGTGGGAAACATTTCAACGCTGTGCAAATAGCACATCCTAAATAACACGTACACCTACAGAAAATTTAAAATACAATATGAAACGTCAGTCTTATCTGAAAATAAAAGTGAGCTCCAGTGATTCCTGCATATAGTGCCTTTAGAATACGCCATGAATTTCGTAGCCATAGCTTTCATAATCAATGCTGTACAGAGAATTTAAAAACGCACTTTCAATGTCTCAATTAACCTTAAGTCGAAAAAAATAATAATTAATGCTCCCTCGCATGAGTTGTGTCACACCTTAGAGAGCTGCGGAGCGGGGCAGTCCATCTTGTTTGATTAGGTATTTCTCTTTCTCTATTCTTCTTTCTTCTTTTTCTTTTTCTGTGTTTTTTCTGTGTGTTTTGTCCATTCATTCCTGTCTTTTTCTACTATTTGCTTTGTCGCTCATTTTGTCAATCTTTCTCTCTAACTTTTCTTTCTTAATACCTCTTGGTACTCGTTTTCACTCATCAGTTATTGCAAGTCAAGCCGCGTCGGCTCATGCAATCTGTAAGTGAAGCTGAAGATTAGGAGCAGAGGCAGAGGAAGAAAAAAAGGCAGGGAGCATGTACAATGAGATCATGGTGAAAGTTTTTTGTTCGCTCTGGAGTGATATTCTGAACGCTGTCTGATTCCGCCACATTGTAAAATTTTTGTCATGGCGGCATTTTAATCCAGTCATTTCGTGGCGGCCCACCGGGCCAATCAGCATTTGTGAATGGCCTAATTTCACAAGTTGGTGGAATTGGAAAGTGTCCTGACTAAGACCCCTGCACAGAATGATGGTCGGCTTAAACAGATGTGTGTTTTTAAGCGAAACGAAAAATACATAAACAAAAAGTAGCAGTGCAGAAATAACAACTCCTTATGTATAATGCATAGTACGTTTAAGGGACATTAAAAGGATTACGTTTTTTTTTCTATTGTCAGCGAATTGGGTGCGTGTCCGTTCAATAGACAACTACCTGTCTACAACGCATGACAGACCTTCACCCTAACAGATGTGGTGTTAAAAAAATAATGTTGAGCGTTTTGTTATGGGGAAACGAAGATGATAGAAATAAGAAGGTATGACATGCATGAAAACTTGAGGATCTGCACGTTGCCATTTAAACTCTTACTACAATGCCGAAGCGCAAGTGCATACCATACCATTTACTCAGCACAGAATGAGGCACAGCTGTCATCCGTGACACACGTGTGAAAACTCTGCGACGCATAACAAGCACAATAAGACACTTTAGTTTGTGGTCTCTATACAACAATCATGACCTAAGCGCCAATATACCATTCGGAGGCCCAGGATTTTCGTATAATTTAACAAATCAACTCTCAGCGGCTGATGTGTCAAAATTTTCTTAACGAGGTGATAAAGGAAGGCCGACCATGCGACCAGAAACGTCAGATGCTTAAGGAAACAGCCCACCCCACAGAATGTAGCCTGGCGTGAAAAAAAAATGGTGAAGAATGTACGAGTAAAAGTGATGACTCATAGAGAATATACAATGCACTTAACGAAACTCCGAGTTTAAGCAGTGCGCAAAAACTCGATTATCTCTCCAGTGGTGTCCTACTCCATTCCGTCTGGTATAGAGAGCCACGAGTACGTTTCAAATACTATTCTAACAGTTCACGAGTACGTAATAAACGATACTGGCTCCTGAAAATCAAACCTGTAGCGAAACTGCAATAAAGTTCAGTTGCCATGGCAATACGTAGCCATGGCAACTGAACAGGGCAGCGTATACGTTGCGCAGCAGACAAAGACATATACGTAAATGCTGGCAGCTTATTTTTTCAAGTGTTCTGATTTCATCTTTGATTCATTTGTGGGGTTTAACGTCCCAAAACCACCATATGATTATGAAAGACGCCGTAGTAGAGGGCTCCGGAAATTTCGACCACCTGGGGTTCGTTAACGTGCACCCAAATCTGAGCACACGGGCATACAACATTTCAGCCTCCTTCGGAAATGCAGCCGCCGCAGGCGGAATTCAATCCCGCGACCTGCGGGTCAGCAGCCGAGTACCTTAGCCACTATACCACCGCGGTGGGGCTCTGATTTCATCATTAGGCTGCCTCTTTTATGAGTGCTAACGTGAGAACATCGCTTTACAGAAATCATAAAATAGCTATTTAATGTTTCAAAAGTATTTGATTAGATTTTTTTTGGTAAATAGCATATACGTCCTCGCAATTCGCTTTTTCCATAATCAGGAGTCGTCAGCTTTCTCAGCTAGTGGGTCACCATCACAAAGTTGTGTCCGCAAAGCAGTCGCGACAGTGAAGATGGTTACAGCGGATAGGAGGGGAGTTGAGGTGAAGGTAGATACTGAATGAAACGTCACCTAACATTGCCGTTTGAAAGCACATTTTTCCGATATTATCCTATAAGGGTCACATATGTTTTGATTTCTTGTGAAACAACCAAAACATATACACACAAAAAAACGAAAGACCCAGCCTCTCCAGCGTTACCCTCCATAATATCTGTCGTGACAGGCGCCCTGGATACATATTTCAGGAATAAGTAGTCAGCGGAAAAGAGGAGGTGTTAATAAGCGAGCATTCACTTTATTTGACAGTAAAATCTGCTGCATAAAATCGCACTGATTATTGAAAAGAGCGATTGAATTTTTGTTCCAGCCTTCTTTACTTTTTTCCTGTATATGTTCTGCTCTTTCTTAAGTAAAGCTTCATGTCGTGATCAAGTCAGTTCGCACGTGCTTCTTTCGCTTCATCCCGTGAAATCAATGTTTATTTCTTTCTTATAAAGACGTGGATCAGGTAGCCCGTCTTTTACCGCTTATTCAATAAATATATGGCGGACGTAACCTAGGCGACTATAAAAAGCCCTGTGATCTGATACAACTTGCAAACCAAAGGAAGGCAAGCTTATACGAAGAGCTTTTTTGGCCTAACGATGACAATCGACTGAAACAAGGGGCCACGTTAGGGCAGTCTAGAAACGATTCACATTTTGTGCAACTTTTTCAATTTTCGCCTTTACATTTGAAGTTGCTTACTCCCCTCGATGAAGTGAACAAATTAAAGATGTTGCAATGAGGCAGCTGTGCAAAACAGGCTTCACGGGCTTGTAAGTCTCGCCTAGAAGCTGCAGAATGTCAACGACACCACCGCATATGGTGCGCAATGGGAGCACACGCATTACCATAACGCTTTTAAATTACCGATTACCGTTCTGAGGAGGACAGTCGAGAGCATTTCATGCGTGGGTGCAGTTGAATAGTGCTGGTAGTTTTCTAGAGTTTTTCAGTTCCGCCAGTTGAGAAGCGGCGTTCTCAGCTGTGCCAGAAGCCGATTATGTGGAGGTTTTCAGATTGTCACGCCTTCTAGGAGAAGAAATTCAAAATATTTAAACAGTGCGACGTCACCCAGCATGCACTTCTCGCAAGCTTCTCAACGCCGCACACCACGCTGAAGTAGTTATGAGCGTTCTTTACTGCGTGCTTTGACGAACCAATACCCGACAGTCAGCAGAACCCACGATTTGGCCCAATGGCGAGTTAGGATTTTGATATATGGGGCCTTCAAGGAGTTTCGCTACTCAAATGATTGAGGAACCCTGCGTAATTGCAATAGGGCCACAATACGTAGATTTGGGGAACATAGTACCATCTCTCGCCAACAACAGCGCTGCAAATAAGCGAAAGACATATTATTAGATAATGTTTTCGTGCTCCTGTTTCTCTATACCACCACTAGTATATTCGTATAATTGAACTACTGCACTATAAATTAAGTTTGTAGTGCTATATTGTTTTTCGCAGAAGGTTTTTTCTTTACGACGTGGTTCCATGTCAAAAAAAAAAACTGCAATGAACTGTCCCAGGAAACCACGTGTTTGTATGATACGGCAATAGTTCCAGGGGGTGTGGGTTGCACAGAGCTAAAAGTCGTTTTGGATAGCCAGTTTCTTTTCCAAAAGGTGATTTTTTTTTCACGTATTTCTAATGTATTCATGACAGGGCGCTGTTGCCTAGCCTGAGAGATACCATATATACGCGCCCTAAAGTTCTTGGAATTGACCGTAACATGCAAGCCACTCCTAGCAAGCATGAAGAGACAGGCAAAAGATAAGTCGGTGGTTGTGAATTAATAATCACTTATCCTTGCTTGGGTTGTGCAAAAGAAAAACTGCAACAGAGCCAACAAAATGTTATCTTGAAAAAACATCGAGTGCAAGATAGATATAATGAATATTCATGCAGCCGCTCTTCGCACAACCTATTTATTGTCAGAGTCTTGACTGGGCTCAAGTTCTCGGCTTCTTCAAGGGTCAATTTTTATGTCAAACCAGTGTTTCTTTTGTACAGAATTGAATATTAAAGAAAAGAATAATTTCGAAGAAATGTTGGAAAGCTCGGTTAAGCAGGGACATTGATTATTCTGCATCAGTGAAGACAAAGAAAGGAGTATGTGCATACAGTAAGGACGACAAAAAAGGAGACGTGAGAAAAATAGCAATATCACTTCTGATCGTCGTTGTGGGCCAGAAAATGTTGAATCAGTAGTAACTTAAAAGTGACATTAAAAAACACTACATAGTTTTCTGGTGATTTGAGGTGATTTGATGAATTGAGGTCAAAGAATCGAGATAATTCACCCGACAAGGGATTTCAAATGAGCGGAGGAGCATGACTTTCTAGTGGGCGTCGCGGTATTTACGACGATAGGCATAGATGGAGGAGGTGTTGAGTTGTTGATAACAGTCACAAACTTTGCATGTCAATAACACTGGGACCCAGTGTGCATGAGCCCACTCAGCGTGTCGAATACAACCAACAATCCTGATGCAGCAAAATTATAAATGCTTTTTGCTGCATACGAAGGTACCAATTATAAGTAAAATGAACGGAAGCTCGAGGTGGAGAACTTTCCCGGTGAATTGCATAGTTCAAGAGGTTAGAGAATACCCCCCCCCCTCACCCCTGCCTGCTGCACAGAAGTGCGGCCACAGCAAGGAAACCGATCTTTCGGGAGACACAGAAGATGACGATTGTGCCGCGCAGTCAAGTACACTTATGCAACTAAGTAAGATTATTGAAATGTACGCGAACACTATGCGATTGCATGCGAACCATGCAAGTTTTCAAACCTTCTTCTGATGCTCATGGTTTCAGGTGTATCACTTGAGTTGACACTTCATATTCCCTTAGATAGTTTACTACGGGATGAAGGAAAAGTGGTATCAGCTTGCAAATATTTACGAACATTCGCAGATCAGCAAAAAAGCTGAGGACTGCCTTTACTTGAACGTATGGACACCGAGGCTGAACACGTCAGCAGGGCTCCCAGTGATGGCCTGGATTCACGGAGGTGGCTTCCAAGAAGGATCTGCCGCAATACCTCTCGATGACGGAACTTATTTGGCTGCTTTCGGAAACGTTGTGGTGGTACCATCGCATACAGGTAAATAAGATTAGGATTAAGATAAGGATGTTGTAGGCAGTCGGTACATGTAGTGTTGCTAAAGAAGCAGTTGCCTCGCCCGTTTTTCTCTTTGCTGATAGTATTGAACTAATGCCCTTTTGTGTTTTTTTAGCTAGTGCGGGCAAAGTCTTGGAACACGACGCAACCCTGCATGTGCCCGCGGCTTGTATGTAATTGCGCATGCAGTATTCTTCCTGGTCCCTTTATCTCACCGCCTCCCAACCCGACATAATTGTCACTCATTACCAGTTGACATTAATGTAATGAGTTGGTAACGGTACCATTATATACCATCAATTATCACCCATTACCATTATTTACCATTATTATATAACATTAATAACCATTATTTGTGATGAGTTGACACTCATTACCAGTTGACCTCACATTAACGTGTGAGGTTTAGTGAAAAACATCAAGAAAAGTTGTGGCACCTGCTCCCTGAAGATCCAGTGTCCTTGCGGACGCGCAATATCACTTGTACTATCGCATTACGAACCTAAATATTTTATGCTCCAACGAAACCTTGCCATTTTTTCTTAAGCTTACGACACTTCACTAAATAGTGTTCCATACCACCACAATGCTTGCAAGTTGGGCGAAAATGTGTCGTGAAGAGTTTGATCTTGTGAAGCCATGCAGACGTACACGCTGATCCCGTCCGAAGGCGCTGAAGCGAACAGAACTTTCCCCTTGATAAATTGGAAGTTTATTTTTTTTTTCGTAACTAAGAAAGCTGCATCATCATTTTTTTTTTCGTAACTAAGAAAGCTGCATCATCATATGGTGTTTTCTAGAGAAAGGCCAGATATTGGCGTCGTCTTGAGAGTTTCGATATTTTTCAACCAACTAGAACCCACCACTACCCTGCTTTAAAAAAAATGCCACTAAACGTTACAAGCTTTCTATCATTTCAAATCTTTTGTAGATTCGGTTATATTCGCTAAGACGAGTACTTTATTACGCTATTGGACTAGTTATAGCCAACGAAGGCTGAAATCATGATTACGGTGAAATTTCAAGTAACAAATAAAAGCACCTTTCAGTGAATTCCAGTCACCTTGATCGCTTCTGTCTCCGCATTTCCATCTAGCCACCTAGATGAGAGCTAAACAGACACGATGTCGACCAAAATTTGTGTTGGAGGGTAAGATGCTCCGAGAAATGTGACTGTATAGTCGGGACATGAATAACGTGAAACGCATACCGGGTGCGTCATCGGACCCTTCGCCATACGTGTGACGTAAACCCGTATACCACGAGCCAGAGTGCTCGGGTATGGTATCCTGTGGTACACTGCGACAAGCAACTTCTAGTTGCCCCGAAAGGACGAGAATGGGCATTACCAACTGAAGTATGACCGTGTTGAGAGAAAGTGACATCGGCAGGGCTGATCCGGCGAATGCCAAGTTGAAAAAAATTGAGTACCTCAGCAGCAACCGAACGCAAGTGTTCAGAGTGGCAATCAGTTATTCCACCAAAGAGCCACGCCAAGCTCCAACACTACTTTGGAAAACGACACTTTGTCGGCGTGAGGTCGGAGCAACGTCGATTGTTGCTCTACCGTTTGAGAGTTCATTATTGCGTGCCTGCAGCTTTGTATTCGTGTCGATTCAGCACCGTTTCCGAGAGTCATGCTCAAATAGTCGATGCTGTATACGCTTAACGAAAGGTGGCACTCCCTCAACAATCTCGACGGACATAAATGAAGTGTTTGGTAGTTGTTTTTTTTTTCTTTCACAGCTGGCGCCACGACACCTGGCCAGAGCTGTGGCAGGTAACCCGATATTACGATACTTTGCGTACCCACCACACAATAAAAGGATAATGAACCCGCACAGTAGACGAAAATGAACGGTACACACGAAAGGACGACGCTGGCTCCACTGCCACAAATTCTCCTCGTGTGTGTCGTCGTCGGGCCACGGCACCGGCTGCAGTCGCAACTTCTACACGTACAACTTTTGTTTTCTCGCATTATTGTCTTTACGAGATAAAGAATTTCTTTACTAGTAGCATGCTCTTTTTATTCTAAATTGCAAGAAAAAAGTATACGTACGCAAGAAGACGCTACGGCGCAGTGACTAGGTGTGACTGTTTTGTGCCTTGCGTTCGGATACACAGCACTATAAACTGTGCCAGCTGAGGTACACTACTTAGCACGTACGGAAACCCTTGCGTATGCCCCACTAATATTCTCTAATAAATTCGTTGGCTCATGATGCGATCAAGAGAAATACAGAGCAAAAGGAAGACCGGCAGGTTAACCAGATATTGGTATCTGTTTTTACCACCTCAAATAACTCTCAGATCGCCCCCAAACGTTGCTTATGCAAAGATTGCTATGACTATATTCGCTGAAACCGTCAGCTGGTAAAATCATTACTACCGTTCGTACGTTCAAAAACTCGGTTAGCCCGAAAATAACTTTTTCCCTCTACTAGCACATGGTAAACAAAAAAAAAAACAGACAGGGAAATGGGTTAGAGGACCAAAAATTTACCCCTTCATTGTGGTTAATTTTTCTCTATGTGTATGTAGATTGAGCATGCTGCAACCTCAACATGAATAGCGAGAAACTCGCAAATCTTTTAGCTTGTTTAGACCAGAAAAGCCAGGCTTACTTTCTCGGTGCTGTTATCAAGCCAATATCCTACAAAAGCGCTGGAAGCGCATAATATTTCTGGAATATCAGTATGTTTATGAACTAGTGTCAAGTAAGAGCCTGAAAGAAGTAATTGAGTAGCTAAAGAAAGAACTCATATGGTTCCGTGTGTACTTGCTTAAGAGGAGGACTCGAGAATGCAATACATCTGGCTTTGCTTCTCAGTTGATTTTGTTGAGGTCGAGCCACATGCTTGCCCCGAAATCTTTCTGAGCCATCTAACGTATCAATAAAGTTTGTCAACATAGCCTTTTGAGTTCGTTGGTTATTCCCTTCAAAAAGCGGCAAACTACACACAGAATGCTGAAAGAGACGATAGGACGAACGCTAACTTTAAGCTTAGAAATATAGCGCTCATCCAGTCGTCTCTCGATAGCCCGTGTGTAGTTAGCGCTGTGCCACGTTTCGAAGTAACATAGTAAGATATGTCACGCCACATTTGGAGACCTGTCACATCCATCATATATTGTGACATCATCACGTGGCACCACTCGTGTTGGCACTGATGATGGTCAGTTTTCGCGCTAGAGGAGACACTTAAAATTTTACAGTTAAGAATAGGTAGCGTTGAATCATGTTGCACAATCATAGAAACTGCTAAGATAGACATGTCAACCAAAATGAGGACATGATTAGAATGATACCTTAGAGAAAGTTTCCCGAACGCTTACGCTGACGGGCCCTAAAATTCGTGAAGCAGCTTCTCACATAATAATGACTTAGTTGCGAAGATCAACACTGCTGACGCCTTGCTTCTCTCCTGTCAAAGCAAGCCTAATCTTGCTTTAGGTAAAACTCGCTGGCAGTATATTATGTGAGAAAAGTGGTCACTCTTCTCGTACTGTATAATTTACCTCAAAACTTTCACTTGACTACGCAGGTTGCAGTCATTCGGTTTCCTGTATGATGAAACATCGGCCCCCGGAAACATGGGCTTGCACGACCAGCAGCTGGCACTGAAATGGATCCAGGAAAACATTGCCTGCATTTGGCGGTAACCCTGGTGAAGTCACGCTGTTTGGATGGAGCGCCGGTGGCATTTCGACAGGATTTCATCTTATTTCTCCCGGAAGCCAGACTCTTTTTAAGCGGGCCATTGTTCAAAGTGCAGCCGTGACGAAGAAAGGACGTGCCAGAGACAAGACAGAAATGCTCGAATACTCCCGAAAAGTTTGCTGCTAACTTCGGTTGCTATGGTGGTGACTCGACTGCCAATGCTTCTCAGAACATTGCCGCTTGCATGAGAAGAGTAAACGCCTCTCTAATTGTGGCAGTAGAAGCAACGTTCGTGGGATCGGGAAGTGGAAAGTTTGAGCCAATCTATGGAGATGAGTTCTTGCCCATAGAGCCTCGCGTGGCCGACTTCCCAGGTGACAAGGACGTTATGATTGGTCAGACAGCCAATGAAGGAAGCAACATTCTCTACACCACGTTCAGGGACACGTTTTCTGAGGCACTGCCTCCCAGAAAATCAACAAGGCAGAAATGATACATTTCCTGGGCAGTTTGTACAAACTGTCTCTGCCAGACACAGAAAAGCTCCAGAAAGAATACATGGGTGAGATTGGGGATTACGATTACGACGCTCTTCGGCAGGCCCTGGCGGAAACCAAGGGAGATACTCATGTGAAGTGCGGAGCCATCAACACGGCGTGCAAGTTGGCCAACGCAACAGCGAACGCACAGTCAGGAAAAGAAGTTCACTTTTATGAGCTTAACTACGTGTCAGCTTGCGTCAAGAAGCAGCCATGGTTCGGAATGACCCATGGCGATGAGCTTCCATTGGTATTTGGCAGAGTGTTCGAAAGGCAAGGTGGATGTGCCGGTGATATGGACTACAGTAGAAATATCATGAAGCTCTGGAGTGATTTTGCCAAAGGAAGGTAAATATTATTCCTTATTTACACACTGCACCACACACCATTGCCAGTACTTATGAAATTAATATACTTATATCCAGGTTCAACAAAAGCAGGCCTGCACAGAAGTGTCCTATTGGTGCTTTTTGTTTTAAATACTGGCTGTAATTTGTTAATAATGACATTTCATGGTGCTGTCCATCCGAAAATAATGGTACACGAGTAGGCACGCCATAGTGGACAATGAATGTTAATTGCTCGCCGCGTTTGGTTTTCTAAATAATATGTGTATGGTATGGTGAGATAAACCGAAAGTCAAGAAAGTTAACAATAAAATATATTTTGCTCCTTTTTCAAGAGCCGGGAACACAACTTTCGAAAATTGATAGGTGGGATTGATTGATTGATTAATTGGTTGATTTATATGTGGGGCTTAACGTCCCAAAACCACCTTATGATTATGAGAGACACCGTAGTGGAGGGCTCCAGGAATTTTGACCCCCTGGGGTTCTTTAACGTGCACCAAAATTTTAGATAGGTAGATTACTGAGTGAGGCCTAAAGTAGCTACGAACCTGCGTTGTGTTCCTTAACAGTTTTTCCCTAATTTGTTCCTCTTAACTAGTCCAGAAATAAAAGTTTATCCAATAAAGATAAAAGTTTATCCAATAAAAAATAAAAGTTTATCCAATGCAACTAGTCCACAGTAACGAATACTCAGGTCGCAGGCTTTGGTTTTTTTGCACTTTCTCGATTTATCTCACATCTACCGCGCGCTTATCGCAGAAAGGCACAAAAGGTTATGAGTATCGGGCGTGCTGCCCCCTGTCCGAAGTTGAAGCAAGGAAGACCAACGTGTCAAATCAAAACAAACAACAGCAATTTACTGAACTAAACGCAGCATACTGCAGGGTCGACTCGAGGACACGAAGGAGCTACGCGGTGACCTAGATTTTTGGGCAGCAGCAATCAGACAGCTCGGGTGATAACATCCGTCTTTCCTTGTGGTCAGGGCTTCTCTCTTTTAGGCATAGCACGCAGGCAGACCCTTTTGCAGAGCACAGGTGAACAGCACACCGCACTGCACAACATATGGCGCCATTTCGAATAGTCAGTGGGTGTAGTTCCCACAAATCATCGGCAAAAATTTTCCGGAACTTCAATGTGGGACGATCTACCGCAGTGAATACTCAGACTGTGTTGGTGCTGTAAAACAAAAAAGTTACAGTTAAAAAGTGGCTGAACAATGAATACGTGAAAAAGTAAAAATGAAAAATGTGGAGAAGTGGCAACGCCAATGATTGCGATAGCGGGCCGCCACTACACAATCAATGCGATAGCGAAATTAGAATTTCAATGCAGAACAAAAAGCCACTCTATACTTGCAGCGCGACGACTAGACCACAAAGAAGGACGCTCAAAGTGAACACAGAGATATATGAAGAACAAGCGTGAACTGACTGTTGCATTTGTTGCATATTTGTTTTTTAACAACGCGCTTCAAGTGCTTCAAGTACAGAGAATGCAGAAGCCATGCATGGCAGAACCCGTTGCTCCTACATAGTTTTTTTTTCGCTGCGTCTCCTGCCACGTGGTGGCACTTCACGTGACATGTTTGTGTAGTGTTTTTGGTTATCTCCCACAAAAAGCGGATACTATTTCGTGCGTATGGAGATGGCTATACAAAAAGTCCACCGAGGGTGTCCATGTAATTACTATCACACTGAAAGTAGCAGCTGTTCCGCTCCTTGAAGGTGCAGCCCGCCTTAGTTGACAGGCGCAGCTCGTATCTTTACTTTTCTTGGCACTCTTGTATAAACGCGCTGTCCTCAGGCGTTCTCTTAATCGGTGCTCAGCGCAGAATAGCCCCGACGTATAATAACGCCACGCAGTTCTTCGAATTCAGTGAAGTGGCAAAGAACGCAAGGCACGCATATCGCTCCACTGCAACTTTCAGCACCTCGCTGCGCTTTGCATTGCATGCGGCGTCAGAGCGAACTTAACTGATGGACGATATCAGTTTGAAACATCTTATGACGTCCTGATGATGTCACCGTTTGACATCATAGCATGACATAGTCACTGTCTCGTCATCACCCTCACGAGAGCCTTTTTTGTTAATCTCAGTTTATGAAAATTCACCGTAAACTCAAAGAGGCATGCTGCTTGGAGTTCCTAATTAACACTGAAACTAACAAAATCATTGCGGTGAGATCAAACATAATTATTTACTGATGGAGTTTAACGTCCCGAAACCACCATATGATTATAAAAGACGCCTTATTAGACGCCTTAGGAAATTTCGACCAGCTGGGATCATTCAACGTGCACCCAAATCTGAGCACACGGGCCTAAAACATATCCGCCTCCATCGGAAAAGCAGCCGCCGTAGCCGACATTCGATACCGCGATCTGCGAGTCAGCCGCCGAGTATCTTGGCCACTAGACCACCACGGCGGGGCAAGGAGATCACATAACTTATATCCATACTAAAGGCTGCAGAGCCTATTTTATTCGACAGCAGCAAATATAAGCACATTGTTAGCTACCGCTGGCCTCCAAGACAACGCCAGGTAGTGCTTGAAGTTTACGAACAATCGACGACGTCGACTTCTAAGGAAAATTGGACATCACCTAAATAACAACGGCGAATCCAATTCAGCGAAGAACAGGAAAAAGCATCATATTTGAGCGCCTTATTGCACTTCTTTTCCCAATCGATAAATTACTATGTGCAAGTAAATAAGGCGCTTCTTGCTCATCGTGACAGTCAATAATCACCGATCGATGCCTCGTGCAAGGGAGGTTCGTGGATTTCTTAGCAGGGACAAAAAGAAAAAGAAGAGATGCGTCAAACGCCAACACACCAACCTCATTTGAAACCGCCAGCTCCATGCAATCGTGGCACGATTACCATCGCGCTTATCTTTCTATCCCTCAGTTTTCTCTGAGCTGAAGAAGGAGAGAAAAAAAAATTAGAAGCTGTTCTTGAAGCGGGAAAGTAGGGCAAGTGAATCATCACGTGCGCTTTACTGGCGTAGTATTTTTCTCTTTTTTTCTTTCTTTCTTTTTTCCTTTCTTTATTTATTTATTTAATTAATTATTTCTTTCATTATTATGTTTTCTTTGCTTTGCTGTTTTTTTCATATCTGTCCTGTTCTTCATTTTTGAAAAGTAGTGGCTTGATGTGAAATTCTGTTTTCCTGCTTAATCGGTGTGATGTCTATCATGTTCAATCCATAGTTGTTGAGGCTGTAGAGCAGGCCAAAAAAAGGAACATCATATTATCAAAGAAACGAGATACAATCTGAGTTAAATGAATATATAGCAAAACTTTACGGATATCTGCAATTCTTGATATCGTCCTTACGCGTACTTCAGGAAATCACGTCAAGTCCACCAACCCGAAGTCCGAATAGCGAGAGCACTGCCTCCCTCAGAAAAACCAGCATTTGGGCGATTTAGAAGTGGTTAAGTATGTCGAGTGGTTTCAGCGCAAACGAACTTGGACAGAGACAAAGTGCAGACCCAAACACTAGCATTTGCACTAGGATATTAGTGTAGGCTGGTTGGTTTTGCATTATGAACAAGTTGAAGCACTAAAAGGACCCCGTGGATTGTCACTCATTGCTCATGCAGCTAGAGGCATCGCGGGGCCACTTTATTAGCTGCGCTTTAACAACACAGAGATTCGATAGCTATAATGGCAAGTTTCAATTTTTTCACAGATCATTGTACTGATGACAAGGCTTTATATCCTGCCATATTGAATTTTGATAGTGTGGTAAGAATACAATAATATATCTTGACGTGGTTAAATGTGTGTTACGACGGTTTCTTCAATTCGCGACTGGACTGCCTAGTAGGTATATTCCATACCTACTACTTCTGTACATGAGTTACATGTGCTGCTTTTTTATCGCTTAGGCCACCTGTGGATTCCAAGGCAAGGAGTGGCCAAAGTTCACAGCTGATTCAAGGTCATTCATGAAGCTGACAGCAACGGGATCAGAAGTGTCTACCTTCAACAATGAGCCACGATGCAAGATACTCAAAGAACTGAAACTATACTGAATAAGTGTGCGTGTGTAGAATATTTTGTGCAATCTGCTTTGAAACAATTTTAGCACATTAAAATATACATCCTGACTTAACTCCAGCAGTTACCTATTCACAAACTCAGCAAAATTACATTAAGAAGAAGTAATATTTAGCATTGTATTTACCTAATTTTTAACATGAGTCTAAATGATGCAGGCAATTTGTACACGTCGAGAAACAGGCCCCTCTAACATTGTACGAAACTATAGTTGAAATACAGCTGACACAGATTCATAATTGGCCGTAAAAGTTGTCCATCCATCCCCCACATCAAAATACAAGCTTGTAAGGAGCGAAATAAATATTCATTGTAAGCGAACTAAGTATTCATTGCCTGGGTCTCGTAAAATATGTAAATTGAAGGACATTTCTCAGATGTATATTGAGAACTAAGAGACAATCAAGCCAAATACATTGTAAGTGGTGCATTGTACAAATACTGGGATAAATGTGAATAAATTACCGTAGCAGAAAAGATAACTTGCCAATGGCTGGTATGCTGTTGGGAAACGCTGCGCAATGTAATATTTGGAAAAATGAAACATAATATATTGAACGAACTGCGCCTAAATTTTGTTAACAGGGTGCTGAATTTCACCTTTTCAACGCACACTTTTAATTTTACTGTTCAGATGACGTTGAATCATCGTATACAGGGGCGATCTTCAGTATTGCATAACGAAAGCAACGCGTGGGTTTTTTGACTGGCCCAAGGCAAAATTACATCTGTTTGCGTGCAAAATAAGACATGAAAACTGATATGCAACTGATTAAAGCTCTTTTTTGTATCTGGCAGTATTTTTTTTTGTTGGCTGAGCAGGTTTCAAGCTCGTTGAGTGATTGATTGATTGATTGATATGTGGGGTTTAACGTCCCAAAACCACCATATGATTATGAGAGACGCCGTAGTGGAGGGCTCCGGAAATTTCGACCACCAGGGGTTCTTTAACGTGCACCCAAATCTGAGTACACGGGCCTACAACATTTCCGCCTCCATCGGAAATGCAGCCGCCGCAGCCGGGAAGCTCGTTGAGTGGAAAAGCACCTTAGTATATTGCACGGAGAAAGGAAAAAGGTAAGGAGAGGGCATGCCCAGCCGGCGCAGGGCGTAAAAAGTGTGGCGGAAATGACATCATGGCGGCCATATTCAGACGGCACAATGGCGGCGTTGCTATGGTTTACGTGTTGCGCAGTGGAGCTGGTCTAGCAGTGAGCGGCCGCGGCTGGCGGTGGAATGTGTGCCTCCCCAGGTCTCGTGCTGAGCTGTGGCGGACAATATCTGTGCTCTGCGCCGCGTTATTGGTTACGCAGTGTTCTCCTGGCTGTTACATTACTCTTAGCAACGTTTACAAATCCCTTTGTCCATCACGGGGTTTCAACAGTGCGTAGAACAAGTGCATATCCATGTGTCGTGCGGCGGATGACGCGGTTGAAGCAGTTAGTGTTCAGCGAAATTGCGTTGGGCACCATGACGAAGCTGAATGACGACGAACGCCTTGCGGGTCAGTGACGGTTGAGCAGTGCTCCTGCTTGTGACAACGGACGACGCTGTTGAGCCCAGCAAGACGCCGTGAGGACCATGTGCACATACGTAGTTTCGTGTTGTGTGTGTACAGTAACAACTTGCATGTGCGTATTAAAACACCTTTTCTGTTCCGCTTGGTACACTCTCCACCAGCACTGCATGTAATCTCAACGTAACAGCAACCACGTTCAACTGTCACAAGCACCGTGCTCAGTCACCACGGTCGCAGAATGCTGACGCTGGTGATTTTCACGCGGAACACGGACACGGTGGCAGGACGCTGCGTCGGCCGCGTGGCGGAATGCAACCGTAGAAGGCGCACGACCGATCGTGTTGTCTGTACAGTTGCTGAATTAATGACGTGAAAGCACTCGCCGTTGTCAGTGCATCTAGCACGCGTTCTCTCGTAGTTGCTTCGTTGTCGGCGAGTTGTTACTCCCTGTTATTACTCGGACGAAGCGATTTCGTTGAAGCTGTCCCGCTGGCTCTGAGTGATGAGCTCAGTTCCATTAGTTTCGGATCGTCACGACACACGCGCTGCGCAGCCCACGTGCTTTCCGAGCCGGAGAGGGAGTCGCGCCTTCTGCTTCGCATTCATATGTAAACAAGAGAGGAGAATTTGCCTACTCAATATGGCCGACTTCCGGCTTCATCGCGGCTTCACAACGAGTGACGTCAGGGCCTCTCCTTACCTTTTCCTTCCTCCGTGGTATATTGCCTTTCTTATATTTGCAAAAGAAAAAAAAAGAAACGGAAGCAAGGCCAGCGTGTGTCTGCATTGTGAACTGTCGCATGCTGCGGCTTACAGCGTACACGAGAAGCGCACATTCCACGCTTAGAACAAAAAGCCAAGAGCGTTCACTCGGTGCAACAAGTTTCAATGAAACCGTTCGGTCGAGACGCAACGTAAGCGATAGCAGATTCTGCCGAATTCGATGATTCATTATTACCACGGGTAAAAAGTGTAGTTGCACTTCAACAGCCTAAGGTGACGTGGTCTGCAAAGGCATAGCCGAAAAGGGAGGGATCTAAGCTTAGGCAGACCACTTGGCATTAGTCTATTTATGTCGAACTACACTTTTCCATGTTTGTATACGTAAAATAAATCATTTTGAGGTAGTTGGTTTTTCATACTGATGCTTAAATAGCACGTACGGACGAGCAGGGACAGACACGAGGTAAGATACAGACACAGGAGCTTTTACATTCGAGACATAGCGCCTCTGTCTGTAGGTCACCTTGTGTCTGTTCGTTCTCATAGTGTGTGCTGTTTTCGCCTAGCTACCGCAAGTAACAATCCTAAATGCTAATTTGTACACACTATTGTATTTCTGCCGGTGTTTATACACCTCCAAAATTTAAGAAAGATGGCGAAGAAAGAACGTAGTCAGCCTAGGCGTAGCCAGATGGGAGAGGAGGGGGTACGCTTTCTGCAGGTTACGTTGTTTCTTCCCCGAACATATTTTTATTCTTTAAATGCATAGTTATAAGCACGTATGAACCTGTATCAAAAAAGGTTGAGTCCCTTCCGCAAGCAAGAAAAAGTTGGCCTCGTATCTGCGTGTAAATCTGCAAATGTCGTCGAAAGACAACAGTCTTGCGTGTCGAGAGAGCGAACTAAACATTTATTTGATGTTATGCGCAAGAAAATTGGTGAACGGTATCCTGGAGGCACTGCGTTAGTGTGGAGGCGAACGAGCGGATCAAGTCACATCACACGTGAGACATGAACGCCATCTTGGAAAACAAAGCGCGTGGCTCTGAGACGGTTGTGTGCGCCCGTCTCAGAGATGATAAGGTGTAGAACGCAAGGCAACGGGTAGGTGCCACCACCTTCTTGTTTTAGCAAAATGTGGAAAACACTCGCCTTTTCGTGCAAACGCTGCATGGTCAGCGCAGCGTCATAAGCGCTATGGTTCATAAATTACTTATGTATGCCTTTTTCAGTAAAATACGCACATGCAGAATGTATACGTGTTGTTATGGTGCCCTAGACATGCGCAATAATTGCTTTTTATTCGGCAATTGCAGAAGTATGAGCGCTAAATCTGGAGCAACATTTGTGGGTGCTGAGGATGAGGTCAGCCATTTCAAGTACTTGGTGTCGGTAAGAGCGGACAAATCGACAAATGTACAGACAGACAGACAGACAGACAGACAGACAGACCAAACTTTTTGCGTCGAAGGTCCCCAAGAAAGGTATCGTCTTTTAAAAATTCTGGCTACGTTATCGGTTGTCTGCTCCTGAGCTTCACGTTAAAACACCAGTCGTAAAGCCAGTGGTATAGGCAGACTACAGTTGATTTTCTCTTCTTGACATCAGCTTCACAACACACAGCATAGCCGATAACAACAATTGCACCCTCTCCTACTAAGGGCAATCTTGATTAGCATGCGAAGCAGCGCACGAGTCCACTTGAAGTTTCGTTCATCACGGTCTATCGTTGTGATTCTTTTTTCGCACAACGCGCAGGTTTGATTTGGGAAGTCTGAGGACACCTCCCAAAAACCAGTTCGTTTGACGCAAACATTTATTGACAATAACTCGAGAGCACTTAACCCCAAACAAAATGAGTCCTATCTCTTGGATACAGTTACAAACGAATCACGTGCACGCCAGCGCATGTCGTCCGATCGGGAAACTGGTTCAATTAGGAAATTAACCGGAGAGGTTTTCTCCAAAACGGTGTAAGGCCCCTCGTACCGGGGGACAAGTTTCGAGGAGAGTCCCGGTGTTTGGTATGGGATGGCAAGCCACACAAGAGACCCTGGGGCATAGTTGGGATCCGGAAGAGAGGTGCTACGGGTTTCTTTCTGGCGTTGTTGTTTTTCCGAGGTGAACGCACGGGCGAGCTGGCAGCACTCTTCGGCTTGTCTAGCAGAATCGGAGATAGGTGGACACTCGGAAGCATCAGGACGGTAAGGAAGTAGGGTATCAATTGTATGGGAAGGCTCACGTCCGTAAAGAAGAAAGAAAGGTGAGAATCCCGTGGTGGTTTGTATTGCGCTGTTATATGCGAACGTGACGTATGGGAGAACACGGTCCCAGTTGCTGTGATCAGATGCCACGTACATTGAGAGCATATCACCTAGCGTGCGGTTGAACCGTTCCGTTAGTCGGTTAGTCTGCGGGTGGTATGCTGTCGTTTTCCGATGAATGACGTGGCATTCCGAAAGCAGAGTTTCGACGACCTCGGAAAGAAAAGCGCGGCCTCTGTCACTAAGGAGCTCTCGAGGTGCACCATGTCGAAGGATAAAGCGTTGCAAAATGAAAGAGGCGACATCCTGAGCTGTAGCACTCGGCAAAGCGGCTGTTTCGGCGTAGCGTGTCAGGTAGTCGACCGCCACTATAATCCACCGATTACCATCTGATGTCAATGGAAGTGGACCATAGAGGTCAACGCCGACGCGATCAAATCGCTTGGCAGGGCATGGAAGTGGCTGCAATGCGCCAGTCGCACGTGGCAGTATTGATTTACGTCGCTGGCAGTCAGGACAGCACTGCACGAATTTACGTACAAAGTTGTACATGCCGCGCCAGTAATAGCGATGGCGAAGGCGTTCATATGTTTTGAGCACTCCGGCGTGGCCACATTGCGGATCGTCGTGAAGGGAGGCGCATACTTGCGATCGTAAAGTGCGTGGAATGACCAGCAACCACCGGCGGCCATCGGGAGCGTAGTTGCGTCGATGAAGAAGTTGATCGCGGATGGCGAAATGGAAAGCTTGACGTCGGAGGGATCGAGATACTGGAAGGTTGGGCGTGCCAGATAAATATTCGATAAGAGAGGCGATCCATGGGTCACGACGTTGTTCGGTGTCAATCGAGTCGAGATTTAGCGATGACAAGGTCTGGAGGCAAGTGTTTCCGCACGTCTGATCTGGTGGTAAAGGTGAGCGGGACAGGGCATCAGCGTCAGAGTGTTTGCGTCCGCAGCGGTATACGACGCGAATGTCGTACTCCTGAATGCGGAGTGCCCATCGCGCAAGGCGGCCAGAAGGGTCTTTCTATGTGGAGAGCCAGCAAAGCGCGTGGTGATCAGTTACTAGATCGAACGGGCGGCCGTATAAGTACGGCCGGAACTTTCCAAGCGCCCACACCAGAGCCAAACACTCTTTTTCTGTCACGCTGTAATTAGTTTCGGCTTTCGTAAGAGTGCGGCTAGCGTAGGCTACAACGTATTCTGAATAGCCGGGCTTTCGTTGAGCGAGGACCGCGCCTAGGCCAACGCCGCTGGCGTCGGTGTGCACTTCGGTAGGAGTCGTCG